TACAACTGGGAGTTCTCCCAACCAATGTGACAGTAATCAAAATGCACTAGTTTGACGCCTACAGATACATTATTAAAACTTAACAATAGTCACATCAGTTGTTTAGAATGTAGCCCAATAAAATATTTGGGGGGTGGGTACAGGAGGATTTTGGTCACTTATTTAAAATCACTGACGTGTGGCGATAATGGAAACTGACTTTAAGTGTGTTTTATTATTGTCTTCGAGTTCTCTATATGAATAACTCCTTATCCCCTTGTTTTCCTCCTGAGTGGGAGTGTGCATTCTATCCATGTGGGGTGATAGGCACATACCCTGACCAAAGTTTTATCAACTCCCATGTCCTTGTTGTTTCAGATACTCCTTCCCCAGTTCAGAAAATCTCTAGTTCGTCTTGGAATTGAGAGGATGGCATGGAGGTCAGGACTTGCTAAATAAGATGTCTTCCTAAATCTTTCTTATACTCAAAGAGTTTTGAACTCAAAGTAAAAATTTGCCTGCTTCACCTCGACGAGTTCCCTCCTATGACATGATGACTCTTGTCTAGGTTAAACAATTCATTTTGAGCTACTTGACCTGAAAAGAAAGCCTTTAGATAGAATGATCATAAAAACAAGACTGAGGCACTTTTTTTTTTAAAAAAAAAAGGACACTCTGAATGCTCGCCAAGATACCAAATATAAGCTGGGTCCATGCTGAGCAAATCAGTGAAGAAATTAAATGAAGGGGTGTGTGTGTGTGTGTGTGTGTGTGTGTGTGTGTGTGTGTGTGTGAGACACTAGTGAAATAATGTATACCAGACTCCATAATTTATTGTCTGAAAAATTGTGTGTATTTGAGGCTGGAGAAAACATAAAATGTATCAGTTATTACTTTAAAATATTATATTGTTCCGCATAAAAAAATACAACATGTAACACTCCTAAATACCCCAGGCCTTTTAGATTCATTTTTAATGATATAGTCTTAGCATTCCACATATTATTTTAAATTATGTTCTTTCTCTTTGCATTAAATACAGAGTCTTCTGGCATAAGCCAAAGGATCACTTAATGGAAGCAACGAAGATATCTAGTTTTCAGAAATGCCTGATGATTTCTTCTTTTCCTCTGCAATAATTTTCTGAGTCCTTGTGTTTCTTTTTTGCTTACTGGTGCTTTCGTTTTTACATTTTCCACTGACTTTAATATAATTATTTGTTGGCTTTCTTAGCATTGCTCGGGAGTGTCACGAACTACCCTTTACAGTCAGTGCCTGATGTTGCTTGACCCGGAGCTCACCACCAGGATTTGCCTCTGCAAAAAGGAGCTGGTTTTCCAGCTCCACTCCTTGCTATTCAGAGCCTTTGTTCTTGCGCCCTTCACCTTGAAGTTTCACTTTAAGTTATACTTGAAATCACATTGTCTTCTTTGGCTTCCTTTTGGGCTTCAGATCTTGCTGCTCTAGAGAATGACCGCTCATGCCTTTGAGACGCCTTGAAGGTCCACCAGAGAGCCTTTGATCGGGCGAAGATACCACCCATTGTGGCGAGGAGCTCTAATTGGGTCTAACTTCTGGTTCTATTTGTGGTAGTCCACTGTCATTCTCCGAGATCGCTCCATTGTTTGCGGGCACAGACCTGAATGGAATTAAGTCTAGCCCTACAAATAACTCAAAGGGAAACTCGATGGAAAGGACAACCCCTGTGTGCTATAGGTCTCTAAGGGTGCAATAACCTCTGCTATCCACCGAGAACACACTGTGATTTCTGATTATTATCTTGGGAGGGAGGTAACAGTTGTTTTCCAGTTTGCACTTGGGCTTTTCCACTCTGCAAGCTCTTACCCCACAGGCCAAGGAACCAATGTGAGGGTTCTGCAAACCTCTAAGTATATTCCATCCATTATACATGCAGGGAATGGGGAAATAATCATTTTGTGAGTATGGACTCTGTGGGTCTACAGTAAGTCAGGCTTTAGTCAGTTACACTAAGCTAGAGGTCAAAACAGGTAGATATTTATAAGAATTCCACATACTAGAAATACATTTTGAAACTATTTATTTTGTCATTTCCCCTTTCATTTATGGCCTCTTACACAATTTTGGAATTTTACATATTCCTTATTTAAATTTTGAGTACAGAAACTTATAAAGAAGAAAGTATCAATCACTTAAAAGTCTGCCACTAAAAATTAACTGCTTTCAGCATTTTGGTGAATATTTTTCTAGTTTTCTCCAATAAATTGTTAAGGTTTTGCCCAACAGAGGCTCTAAATGAATATTATTCAAATCTACCTGTCTCTAAATGTCTCTAAATGGCTTTACCATTGAGAACCACTTTTATCCCAAGATTTCATCGCCAAGTTTTCTATTGAAAAGTATGGTTTATTTTTTTCCATTTAACTTTCTATCAAAGTAGAATATTTTTTGGTATAGGGTATGAAGTCACATTATTAGCCATTTATTTTTAAATAGCTGATTATGCTATTTGTTGCATAATTCTTTATTTCACCCATTAATTTATGATGCCAGAAGTACATATTAAGTATTACATCTACTCTGGTTTGTTTCTGGACTTCCTGTGACATGTAAATGTATCTGTTATTACTGTTTTGACTATTGCAACTGTAATAATTTCTGTGGGCTAGAACTGATTCCAGTTGCCATAGTCAAAATAGTAATAACATGCATTAGCCTTCTCCCTCCACGATCCTTCTTTTTCGAATCACTTCATTTATTCTTAATTTGTAAATACCTTTGTAACTTTTCCAAATTCTCCCAAAAGTATGTGGTTTTTACCTGTAATTACTTCCTCAATTATTCTACTAATTAATTGAGGGAAGAATTGGTTATTTTTGGTACTATCCAACCTTCCTATCCAGAAACAGGCTAGTTATCTACGATTATACAAATATTCTAAGTCTTTCTAAAATATTATGGTTTTCTTCACATTTCTTATCATGATTAATCGTAGGTATTTTATATTTAGTAATTTTGTTCCACGATTGTAAACAAGAATCCATTTTCTCCATTGTATATTTTTCTTTATTTATTTTACAATTTTTTTTCAGTATCTAGGAATTATCTCAGGATTTTTCTTTATTTTGCCCTGAAATCAGCAGTTAGTTCTTGGAATTCCTTAAAACTGTGTCACTTTTATGGAAATATCTTCCTGCTCTGCTTTTCTTGAGCCTTTTTTCCTATTAAAAATACAAATAAAAAAAATGAACAAACAGCAAAATAAAAAGACATCAAATAAGCGTAAATGTCCCACATTCTTTAGAGCATCCTTTGCCAACAAACTGAGGTAGAAACAAGGACCCCTGCCTGAGGGTGTGAGTAAATCTTCTGAAAAGAAGGACCAAGCTCCCAGAGCAGGATCCAGCAAGGCAGCTTTGATAGTTTCAACTCTCACCACCAAGGCACTGGCCAAATGGATTTGGAAAAGGCGAGGAAAGTATGCAAAACTTTAAACCAATTCTTGATCGTTTAAAACACAAATGATGACCACTCCTTTTCCTCTTTCACTTCCATTCCTAGCGAAAACTAGATGGTATGAATCTCAAAGGCCACAGAACAAGACTCCTCCCTCTGAGATACATTGTCCTCTGTGGGAGAGGATCTCCCTGACCTCCCTCAAATTCTTCAGTGACCAGGACTGTCCACAGACCCACATGGACCAGCCCAGAGACTGGGTTGAGGGCTGCCAGGGTCTGAGGGATGAGAATCTGGTGTTTGGATCCGTACATGTTTGTGAAATACCTTCAGGGGTGTGTATGTCACACTAGGTCACCTAGTTTTGGCCTCTTCACCATGAAACCTGCTAATGCACACTGGACAGAGCTGGTCTGTGTGACCTAGGAGCGTTGGGCAAATCTGAGGCCACCGTGGGGAGGGATGAGGCTGTAACTAAAGCAAAGGCTCTGACCACACAGAGATTGTCTAGGTCTAAGCCTGCCTAGGGGACAGTAGTTTCACTCATGTTTTGTCTTCTTCATCCCAGACCTAGAGCACATAGCTCCTCTAAGGGACAGCCAGGAAGTTTATACTTACTTATTTTCCACATCCTGGAGGGAGTCAGGCAGAGGCCGGTTCCTGGTTTCAGGAAGGAGGATGATAACAAGGCTGGCCAGGATGGAGAAGACGGCGAAGACGATCCAGGGCAGGTGAGGAGAATATACCGTTAGGATCATCAAGAGCGGGGTCAGGGCTGCTCCAGTATTACCAATAATCCCGATGATCCCCGAGGCCGTTGCCCTTGGAGTGGAAACAACAGTAAGAAAAATAACTTGGTAAAAATCCACACATGTAATTCGCGATTTATTATTTTGCTTTCATTGTGGGAGATACCACAGCAGTGTTTAAATATGACGTGCTCTAACTTTTCAAATATGCTCTCTTATTTGCTTACAAATTTTTGTTCCCTTGTACACAAGTGCATTAAGACATATTTTCATTATTTGAAATATGTTCTTACCCACAGCATCTACCCTTTGGTGGTTTGGTAGAATATGCGAGATGATACATTAACGGACTTAACCCAGCGCCTGACAAAAGTCAACTGTAAATAAACTTTGCCTACAAATTGTTGTTGTTATTGTCATTGATTGCTTTTGATAACTCGTCAGCCTTTCTTAACACGATGAGTGTTAATTAGCTGGGAAAGGTCCGTTTTGATCCCCATAGCGCCTCAGTGAGGTGGCGTACCTGATCACGGTGGGCATCAGTTCATTTCCGTGGGTGAAAGAACACAAGAGAGCGGCAGAAGAAAATCCTACTCCCAGCGTTGACAGAACCAAACGCAGGGTCTGCATGTCTGGAGAGGAAGACCAGCAAGACTCAGGACATCTGTGCTGATGGACTCACCACCCCCGGACGATTAGTGAAAAAGGCACCATCGAAGATGTTTGCACATGCTAAATACATCATAGAGAAAGCACAGAGAGGCACAGCATACGCAGAGACCGATAGCTGAGAAATAGGACTTATCCAAATAGAACGGCTTACAGAGAGAACCAAAAGAATGAGTTATTGAATCGACTCTCCCTACGTATCAGGAATTTGCCAAAGACAGAGAGGAGAACGTGAATCCAGCAAGAATTTGCTTTTATGTATTCTGTCCGGTGTCTCCTCTTTCATGAATAACATAGCACTGTCATACGAGCAATCACTGAGGGATGTAAGACTCATCGATGTCCTCGAAGAGTTGAAAACCTGGGTGCATCTACAATATTGACATAGGACTGGTACTGCCATAGAGAGTAATACAAGAATGCGTCTCATGTTGATGGATAAGCTGGAGAGTAGCTTGATCTAAAATAATATTTGAAGATTCAAGAATATGGACCCGTATTAAAGAAAAGAAATACTTAAACTTTGGAAACCTCTGAAAGGAAGTTTCAGAGAGTCCTTTTTCTACCCAATTAAAAAAAAAAATCTCATGAAATTGTTACATTGAAGTGAGCTCTGTTGGAAGGCAGAGAACTTTCATCATTGCCGACGTTCAAGGTGAGACGGAAGCCCACAATCTGGGATCCTGTGTGATACGTCACTATGCCGGGGTCAGGTGAAACGTGCCGGCTGCCTTGGTTCCCCTAGTCATTACATCTGATCATTTAATTTAGTAAAGCTGATTCTAAGAGGGGCTTTCGCTGCCTCATGCCTTGCTCCCGTTGTACACTTCCCTGCTTGAAGACAAGAGATTTTTATTTCCGTGAAGTCAAGAAGACTTCCCTAAACCAGAATTGCAGTTATGGTGAACTAATATAAGGAGTTAAGTGAAATCAGGGAGTAAATCGAAATTAACACTGTATTAATAAGAGAGCCCAGCGGAAGAAATGACAGTACTGTGTCCTCACGTGAGACACGATTATATATAATGGGCACAATATTGTGATTTACAAGTGTGACTGGCCAAAGGGCAGGTGATCTTTGGCTGTCTTAGAGAAACGGTCAGGAATAAATGACACCTATTAACGGGTATTTCTCAGCTATGATAAAGACAACCATATGCCCAAATCAACGTTTACTGATCTCTGACTCTCTCCTGGCCACTCAATGGCAAAATCCTCAGACTGGTTTTGGGGAAATCCTTAGAACCACATGCCGTTTCTCCTTTTAACCTCAGAAGGTGTGAGTACATTCCATGGGGAATGGCGGGGCGGGGGGCGGGGGAGGGGAGAGATTTCCTTTCTTCGACCTGCGCTCTTTCTTCACCTTGAGGCACAGATGGGATGGTCAGAAAGAAGATTCCCACCAGGAGCATGAAGAGGATCTGGCTTATGCGACGGCCCAGGTGATTCAGTGCCAAGAGTGCAATATAATTGGCCGGGAGGGTGACGATGCCAAAGAGAATCTGGAACAGGAAGACATTGGTCCCCAGGTGCTGGAGGTGGAGAGTCAGGCCATAAAAGGACATACAGTTTGCAAATCTGTGGTGAACAAAGATGAAAGACAGATGTCATAAGGTTTGGAGCCAAGGTTATGCAAATGACAATAATAGATACTGTCCGCCAGGCAGCTGGCAGCTGACGTTAAAGTATAAAAGCATGTCAGTTTTGTAGAATATATTTTTGCGTGGAAATGATTTTCGAACTGTCATAAAATATTGTGTGATGATGGAGGTCGTAATTGTCCTTAAGTTTTTTGGGAGGTGGTGGGTGTTGTTCTTGAAGATACATAATGCGGCCTTCTAAGGTTTTAGAGTTTTTTCTATATCCCGATTTGAGTGATGGTTGCAATATTTACATGTGTAAATATTTATAGAGCTGTATGCGTCTATGCACCTTACTGTTCGTAATTTTACCTCAATGAAAATGGAGGTAAACAAGTGAAGAAACTCAAGCGAAAAGCTGTACATGGTGGCAGTCCCCAGCCTCAGTTTCCCGTGATGAGCCTGGTAGGGTGATGTGATAAACAACACTCTTCACTGTACAATTAGTTCCGTGTCAGTCTTTTTTATAACCCTCTGACTACCTCTAAACGTAGCGATTATCTTTATGACTTCCTCATGTTTTATCTCCATACATGTCCGCACACATATTACACCCTTTGATAAGGAATAAATTCATGTCTCACACACGGCGCAAAGCCTACCTCACAAAGGACAGGAGACAGATCCTTTTCCGCAAGTTGGGTATGCGGAACATGTCACATGCGGGAGGTTTGCTCTTTGCTGCCTCCAGCTCCTCCTGCATGACGGACCTCAAAACCTTCAACGACAACAATGAGGAATTGTTCCATTGTCAAAAAATAGTAGACACTGTGAGGCCCCCAAGAGTGGAAAATATAGACCACTTACTGTTACACTTAGTGGAAAATATAGACAGTAAAGATACATTGATACATTACGTCATTGTTTACAACTGCCAAGATATGGAGGCAACCTGGGTGTCCATCGACAGATGAATGGATAAAGAAGAAGTGGTACATATATACAATAGAATTTTACTCAGCCAGGAAAAAATAAAATCTTTCCATCTGCAACAACATGGATAAACCTAGAGGGTATTGTGCTGAGTGGAGTAAGTCAGACAGAGAAAGACAAATGCCATATGATATCACTTATATGTGGAATCCAAGGAACAAAATCAACAAACGAAACAAACATATTCATAGATACGAAGGACATTTTGATGGTTGCCAGATGAGAGGGGGGTTGGAGGTGGGTAAAAAAGAGGAAGGGATTAAGAAGTACAAACTGGTAGTTACAAAATAGTCACAAGGACGTAAGGCACAGCATAGGGAATGTAGTCAATAATATTGTGATAAATATGTATGGTCTCAGATTGGTACTAGATTTATCAGGGTGATCACTTCATAAGCTCTATAAATGCCTAATCACTATGTTGTACACCTGAAACTAATGTAATGTATGTCGACTCTAATTACATTTTTAAAAAAAAATTTTAAAGAAAAAAAACAATGAATCATGATTAAAACAAAGATGTATTGACAGATATAAAAGTAGTATGAAAGGTGGATTAGGGGTTAATGAAGTCTTGGGGAAATTGGACAGTAAGGACATAATTGAACATGAGATTCAAGAGAGCTGCAAGGCCTCGGAAAGAATGTGCATGTTAGATATTCAGATCAGGAAGGAAATCTAATGCAGTTTCTTGGATTAATGGTCCACAGCTCCATTTATGCTAGATGGGCATGAAAGACCTGGGAACCGAGCTTGGGTCTCAGCAAGCTGTCCTTCACAGAAAAACTGTTTGTCTCAGAAAAAAAGAACATTTCCTGAGTGTCTTTGTTTTGGTTTTCCACTCAGTCTCTTTGAGGAAAATCTTGGCATGTTGTGCCCCCGTGAATGAGATGCCTAGAATTAAATTGGGATGAAATCTGAAGAGGTCTTGGTGTAGAATGATTTACTTAATGACTCTACAATGTTCTAGGTGTATATATCTTGAGGAACATAATTAAATATTTCTAAACCTCATTTTTTTTTTGTCATTAAAAAGAAGAATAAATAGAAAATGAGTGGGAGAGATAGGTGGAGAAAAATCATAGCACCTCTCCCACAAAGATTTCCTAGGCCACACATGAGGTCACTATGGGCATATGGAATTATACCCAGCAACCCCAGATACATACATACATAGTTACTTACTTACTTAATTAATTAATTATGTTGATTTTATTCTCATCCCACCTCTACAAATAAAACAATAACAGGAAGTCCACTGGAAAAATTCCATGAGCAAAGGAATTCAGAGATATAAAAATCCACCCTAACTGAGAACCTACACAATCAAGAATATCCTTTTAGGACCTATATAGTGACAACTACAAGACATTATTAAAAGAAATTGAAGAAGACACAAAGAAATGGAAAGATATTCCATGTTCATGAATTGGAAGAATTAACACAGTTAAAATAACCATATTACCCAAGGCAATATATAGATTTAATGCAATCTTCATCAAAATCCCAATGGCATTTTTTAAAGAAGTAAAACAAACAAACAAAAAAATCACCAGATTTGTGTGGAACCACTAAAGACCCTGAATAGCCAAAGCACTCATAAGAAAAAAGAACAGAGCCAGAGGTATCTTAACTCCCGGACTTCAAATTATATTACAAAAAGACAATAATTAAAACAGCATGGTATTGGCAGAAAACAGACACACAGACCAATGGAATAGAATTGAGAGCCCAGAAATAAACTCACATATATATGGGCAAATAATTTTCAACAAAGGAGCCAAAAACATACAGTGGAGAAAAGCAAGCCTCATTAATAAATGGCTCTGGGAAAATTGGAAAGCCACATGCAAAAGAATGAAACTAGATTGCTATTTGTCAGCATACACAAAAATTAACTCAAAATGGATCAACGACCTAAATATAAGTCCTGAAACGATAAAATATACAGAAGAAAACAGAAGTACCAAACTTATGGACCTTGGTTTTAGAGAGAATTTTCTGACTTTGACCTCAAAGGCAAGGGCAGTAAAAGCAAAAAGAAATGAATGGGGCTATATCAAACTAAAAAGCTTCTGTACAGCAAAAGAAACCTTCAACAAAACAAAAAGGCAACCTACCGAATGGGAGAAGATATTTGCAAACGACACCTCCAAGAAGGGTGTAATATCCAAAATATATAAAGAACTCATACAACGCAACAACAAAAAACAAACAATCCAATTAAAAAATGGGCAAAGGACCTGAACAGACATTTCTCCCAAGAAGACATACAAATAGCCAACAGATATATGAAAAGATGCTCAACTTTACTAGCTATTAGGGAAATGCAAATCAAAACCACAATGAGATACCACCTCACACCTGTTAGAATCACTACTATCAATAAGACAAGAAATAACATGTTGGAGAGGTTGTGGAGAAAAAGGAATTCTCACACACAGTTGGTGGGAATGTAATTTGGTACAGCCACTACGGAAAACAGTACGGAGGTTCCTCAAAATATTAAGAATACAGCTACCATATGACCCAGAAATTCCTCTTCTGGGTACCTACCCCCAAAATTTGAAAACATTTATTCGTAAAGATATATGTATCTCTATATTCACTGTAGCATTATTCATGGTGACCAAGTCACAGAAGCAACCAAAGTGTCCTTCAATGGATGATTGGATAAAGAAGATGTGGTACGTATATACAATGGAATACTACTCAGACATAAGAAAAATGAAATATTGCCATTTGCAACAACATGGATGGATCTTAAGAATATCATGCTAAGTGAAATAAGTCAAATGGAAAAATTCAAGAATCAGATGATTTCACTCATAGGTGGGATATAAAACAGAAAGCAACAAATAAACAAATAAGACCCTCCAAAAAAAAAAACCCTCATAGACACAGACAACAATATGGTGGTTACTAGAGGAAAAGGGGGGTGTGGAGGAGGTAGAAGAGGGTAATAGGAGTCAAATATATGGTAAAAGAAGGAGACTTGACTTTGGAGGGTGAGTACACAGTGCAATAATTGAATGATGTATGATGGAATTGTACACTTGAAATCCACATAATCTTATTAACCAATGTAACCCCAATCATTTAAAAAAAAATTTTTAAAAGAATTTCCTTTCAGTTGTGGAATCACCTTAAGTAGAAAATATTAGACTCATGCTTTTGGAAGGTTTTTTTAAAATGAGGCTAGTTTAAGGGACCTCTGGGTTTCAACATCAAGTGTAACAACACTCACATCATAGGAGTAAGAGAAGGATAAGAGAGAAAGCAAAGGATTGAGAATGTATTTGAAGAAATAATGATGGAAGACTTCCCTAACCTGGCAAAGGAAATAGACATACAAGCCTAGGAAACACGGAGAGTCCCAAACAAGATGAATCCAAACAGGCCTATACCAAGACTTGTCATAATTAAAATGTCAGAGGTTAAAGACAAAGAGAGAATCTTAAAAGCAGCAGGAGAAAGGCAGCTAGTTATGTACAAGGAAGCTCCCATAAGACTGTCAGCCAGTTTCTGAACAGAAACTTTGCAGGCCAGAAGGGATTGGCATGAAATATTTAAAGTGATGAAAAGCAGGAACCTACAACTAAGAATACTCTACCCATCAAGGCTAACATTTAAAACTGAAGGAGATATAAAGAGCTCCCCAGACAAGAAAAAACTAAAGGAGTTCATCACCACCAAAACAGTATTACAAAAAATGTTAATGGGACTTCTTTAAAAAGAAGGAGGAGGAAAAAGAATGTAAATATGAATAATAAAATGGCAGTAATTACATACCTATCAATAATTACTTTAAATGTAAATGGATTAAGTGCTCCAATCAAAAGACATAAGAAAACAAGACCCATACATGTGCTGTCTACAAGAGACCCACTTCAGATCAAAAGACACACACAGACTGAAAGTAAAGAGATGGAAAAAGACATTTCATGCAAATGGAAATTTTAAAAAGTTTGAGTATCTATATTTATATCACATGAAATAGACTTTAAAGCAAAGTCTATAATAAAAGGCAAAGAAGGACATTTCATAATAATAAAGGGATCAATCTAACAAGAGGATATAACCCTTGTAAACATTTATGCATCTAACATAGGAGCACCTAAACATATAAAACAAATAATGATGAATATAAAGGGAGAGATTTGACAGTAATACAGTCATAATATCCCATTGACATCAATGGATGGATCTTCCACACATAAAATCAACAGAGAAACAGTGGCCTGAAATGACACATTGGACTAGATGGATTTAATTGATATTTTTAGAACATTTTACCCCCAAACAGCAGAATACATTCTTCTCAAAGTGCACATGGAACATTTTCAAAGTTAGAGCACAAAACAAGTCTCACTAAATTTAAGAAGGCTGAAATCATATCAAGCATCTTATCCAACCACAATGGTAAGAAACTAGAAATCAATATAAGGAAAAAAAAACCCTTAAAAACATACAAACACATGGAGACTAAATAACATGCTACTAAACAGTAAGTGGGTTAACAATTATATTAAAGAAGAAAAAAAAGGTATCTTGAGACAAATGCAAATGAAAACAACAACCCAAAATCTACGAGACACAGCAAAAGCAGCCCTAAGAGGGAAATTCATAGTAATACAGGCCTCCCTCAAGAAACAAGAAAAAAAGTCTCAAATAAACAATCTAAACTTACACCTAAAAGAACTAGAAAAAGAACAGCAAACGAAGCCCAAAGTGAGGAAACAATAAAGATGAGAATGGAAATAAACAAAACATCGTCTAGAAAACCAATACAAAAGATCTATGAAACCAAGAGCTGGTTCTTTGAAAAGATAAACAAAACTGATAAATCTTTAACCAGATTCACCAAGAAAAAAAGAGAGGACCCAAATATATAAAATCAGAAATGAAAGAGGAGACAGGACAAATGACATCACAGAAATACAAAGAATTGTAAGAAAATACTATGAATAGTTATATATCAATGAACTGGACAATCTGGAAGAAATGGATAAATTCCTAGAAACATGCAATCTTCCAAAACTAAATCAAGAAGAAACAGAAAATCTTAGCAGACCGATTACTACTAACGAAATCAAATCAGTAATCAAAAAACTTCCAACAAACAAAAGTCCTGGACCTGATGGCTTCACAGGTAAATTTTATCAAATGTTCAAAGAAGAATTAACATCTATCCTTCTTAAACTGTTCCAAAAACTTCAAGAGGAGGGAAGCCTCTCAAGCTCATTTCATGAGGCCATTATACACTACACTGATTCCAAAACCAGATAAAGACATTGCAAAAAAAAAAATATGGGCCTATAGATCTGATGAACGTAGATGCAAAAACCCTCAACAAAATATTAGCAAACCGAATTCAGCAATATATGAAAAAGATACATCATAATAAAGTGGGATTTGTTCCTGGAATGCAAGGTTGGTTCATATCCACAAAACAATTAACACGATACACCACATAAACAGAATGAAGTATAAAAATCATATGATCATAGCAATAGATGCAGAAAAAGCATTTGACAAAATCCGCATCCATTTATGATAAAACCTCTCAGCAAAATGGGAATAGAGGGAACATATCTCAACATAATAAAGGCCATATTTAAAAAAAGGAAAAGAAAATGTGGTATATACATACAAGAGGATATTATTCAACCATAAAAAAGAAGGAAATCCTGCCATTTGCTAAAACATAGATGAATCTTGAGGACATTTTTGCTAAGGGAACTCTATACGATCTTTCCGATTACAAATACTAAGTGATATCTGTCTTTCTTGAGTAAAATAGCTGTGACCAATCCTTTCAGAACAGCATATTCTCTCTTAAGGTTAATTCAATGTCGATGGCCATTGAGAAGGTAGGTAAGAAGGCCTCTCTTCCCACCCTTTACTCATCTTATGGATACCAACTAGCGTATATGTCAGGTCATGTCTTCCCTGCATCCCATAACCAACTCTCTTTCCTGTTCACCTCCATGGTTAGGGTGTCTCCAGCATTCTTGACTCCATTCCTGCGTGCAGCTCTTCTCAGTTCCTTTAAGCCCTCTTCAGGTTTGTTGGTGATAATCAGCCACCGAGCAGACTCTGCCAGCCATCTGGTCAAAGAAGACGACAGAGGTGCAACCAACTCTCATTTGCTCATTTCCCACACACCCTTTGTTCTGAAATGCCTCCCCCCTCCCATCTAATACCTATCTCTTGTTTTGTCATACCAGGAAATGTAAATTTATGTTCTCTTGTCCCATAACTAGGAAACCGTGAGATTGACTGATCCATGCAGTAAGTAAACCTTCACTGCTGGGAATATAAAGGAGTCATATTGGCCCCCCTCTTATTCGAGGGGATAATACCACTTTTAGCAAATAAAAATAGTGTTCCTAGTTAAATCTGAATTCAGTTAAACAGTGAATATGAGTAACTCTTGAATATAATTATGTCCCATGCAATATTTTAGACATACTTACACTAAAAAGTATTTGTTGTTTATTTGAAGTTTTACTTTAATGAGACACTCTGTATTTTATTAGGTTAGTAAACAAAAATACAGAACTCTCAGATAAATAGGAATTTTATATAAACAACAAATAATTTTTAGGGTAACTGTGCACCATGCAATATTTGCGATATTATACAAAAAAAAGAAAACTTGTTTATCTGAAATTCAAATTTAGCTGAGTGTCCTTGATACCTGTTCTGCTTCTTAAATTGTACATATGGTACAGATTAGTAGAGCATTTGCTCAGTGTTGACTACGGACCAAACAGAATCTGTGTCCTTGTTCCATGTACCTTGCATCCCAGGATCCTCAAAGACAGAGGAAGAAAGACATCTTATACCTTGAGGCAAAAAAAAGGACAAATAATGGTGTAGAAAACACCAGCTGAAGGATGTGCCAGTCTTGAATGACAAAAGCCAGTCCTCCCAGAATTATCGGTCCCACAGAAGCAGCACATATTGTCATTGTCATACCCATGGCTTGGAATTGGGGTATTGTCCATTCTATAACTGAAAGAAAACACAAACAGGACTTTGACTTCAAAGAAAGTTGGAATTTCAAAGTCAAAATGTGGAGTTGGAAAATGTCAAAGATCCAAAGTCGTTACTTACTAAGCAAAGAATTATTGGACAGGATGCTCGGGGTAGAAAAGCCAGCCAAGAAGCGTAGTAAGCAGTAAATGAGGAGATTGGGAGCAAAGATCAGACAGGTTTCAGCAATGGCGAGCTGGAGGAAACACCATCTTAGAATTAGCCTCCTCCCAAACCTGAGAAACAGGAACAGGTTAGATATGGGAATATTAACAACCTGTTGTAAAAAAACTATGAAAAAAAAGGGCACACTTTGAAATTTAGGAGTTGTTTTAATAAGTGAAACTTTGTACTTGAAATCTTAAAGAATCAACAATAGATCTCGGGAGCAACTCTGCTGTTTGTAAATAGATACTGAGTGTAACAGTTTCTTCTCCAGTCTGTTACCAGTAGATCTCTGAGACCAGTTGAAACCATATAAGACAGCCTGCAAGACAGTGGTCCCCCTTCATCCATGGTTTTACTTGGCATGGTTTCAGTTATCCACAGTCAACTGCAGTTCAAAAATATTAAATGGATTCCAGAAATAAACAACTCATAAGTTTGAAACTGCTTGTCGCTCTGAGCAGCGTGATGAAATCTCTCACTATCCCACTCCATCCCGACTGGGCTGTGAATCACCCTTTGTCTTGTGTAGCCACGCTGTAGACTCAATTTAGTCGCTTAATATCCGGCTTAGTTATCAGGTTGATGGTCATGGCATTGCAATGCTTGGGTTCAAGTGACCCTTATTTTATTTAATAATGCCACATTCACATAATTTTATTCCAATATATTGTCATAATTGTTCTATTTTATTAGTTATCATTAATCTCTTACTTTGCCTAATTTATAACTTAAACTTTATCATAGGTATGTATGTATAGAAAAAAAAAAAAACCACGGTATATTCAGGGTTTGGTGCTATCCACAGTTTCAGGCATCCACTAGGATCTTCGAATGTGTCCACTGTGGATGAGGAGAGAGTACTATATTGGAAATTTTAACGTATCACAAATGTCCCTCATACTAACATATGCATTTAACATAGTAGATACTGTATAGTATCTAGAACACAAGGGATCTGCTATGGATTGAATTGTGTTCCCCCAAATTCCTATATTGTAGTCTTAATACCCAATGAAATGTTCTTGAAGATGGGGCTTTTAAGAGGTTACTAGGACTTGATGAGGTCGTGAGGTGGGGCCCTCGTGACGGAACTAGGGCCCTTCTACGAAGAGACACCAGAAAGATTGCTGTCCCTCTCCCTACCATATGAAGATACAGCAAGAAGGCAGCTATCTTTAAACCAGGAAGAGAGAGCTCTCACCAGGAACGAAATCACGCTGCACTTTGATCTTGGACTTCCCAACCTCTAGAACTTGAGAAAATAAGATTCTGTTGCTTAAGTCATCAATATATGGTATTTTGTGATGGTGGCCTGAGCTGACTGACATAGGGTCTACATCTACCCTTGGGAATCTAGGACCATGAAGGCCATGGATAAACTGATATGGGAGGAGTATTCATGGAACAATACATCAGTGATGCTGATGGGTGGCATAAGAGGCCCTCTCTGGTGAGTCTGGCTTTATGGTCTTGGACAATGTTCTTCCCTTGGATAGGGTCCGAGGGAGCCACAATCCAATCAGAGGAACTTAGAGAAGGTTCTCAGAGGAAAGGATCAGATGAGATAAGCATGAAGAAACAGAGAAGGAGAAGGTTAAAAAAGAGAGGGAAGAGAATTCCATGCTTCACAGGTTTTTGAGAAAGAGGCTCTTTCTCTAGGCAACTTGGATAAAATGGCCTGTGCCGATTCTATACGGCCAGTGATACCAGGGAACAAACAGTGGGATTCGGCAAATGCTCTGCAATTTTTCCCACTCTTACAGAATATCTACATTATAATATGGCTGTGAAATCTTTTCTATTCTGAGTAGTTATGTAACATATGCCTTCTTTCTAAATTTGTATTTCGCTTTAAAATGGAATAGAATCTACATAAAGAAATGCTATGATTAATGAAATGATGGAGTGACCGTTTTTGGAAAGCCTGGTCAGTCAAAACAAAAACGGCTATATATAAAGATACTTCCTGTACATTCTCACGGGGAAAAGTCACATATGAAGTTGTTCAATGTAGTGCTATCTAGAGGGGCAGACGTTTTGGTGACAATTTTGTCGTTCATCACCAAAAAGTGGATTAAGAGCATCATAACGAATCTCCACTGTGAAGCACTGTGCAGCAAAGGGAAAAATGAACTAAAAGTATCAAAACCATAGCAGCGGTGTACAAAAGGAAAAGAATGAAATAATAACATTTAAATAATATGTAAGTTAAAATATGGGTAAATCAAACAACCTCATTTATTTTGCAAAAACATGAATTTAAAGAAGTACAGTTAATGCATCATAATAATTTCTACATTGGGAGGAGGGACATGGAATTGGGGCATGAAGAAGAAGTGAAAACACGCATGCATATATACATTAAAGGGATTCATGGCCAAATTAATGAGGACACGCTCTCATGAAATGAGTATGACCATTCGATTGTCCGTGGTTGATATTCGAAAGAAGAGAAATTTGTGTTATGTCACACATGAAGACTATTGTTTCATTGTTAATTGTACAGTCTGGCTAGATATTCACCATTGCTCTTTTTTTCCCCCTGGATGTAGAGGAAAATTACACTTCCCAGTCTTATAATTAAGTTGGATTCACACACTCATGTTCTGCCCATGAACTGTATAAGAAAGTGACATAGGCCACTTCCGGCCTGTTCATCTAAGGTATACTTTGGTTCTACTCATCTCTCTGACAACATGGCTGGAAAAACTGGCAGATGAACTGGCAGATGAAAATGTCACACAATGAAAGGTGCTGGTACCCTGAGCCACTGCCTGGAGGATGGGGGCCACCTGACCCAGACAACAGAGGTGACCATAACAGTCAGACTCTTGGGTTCTTATTGTAACTAGCTACCTTGGTCAACGCAGTACTATTGATTTTTATAATGACGACTGATTAAGATAACCAGAGAGGTTTTGTATTATTTCTTTTTTTCCATGTATTTTTCTAAAACTTATTTGAAAAAAATGTTCGATTTGAAAAGAAAATGCTACATGCACCTATAAACACACATATAAAAAGAGGTTACAAAATTACATGAAATTCTCTATATTCTCAAGGTCAGCATACCAGATCAAGGGCTTCTGATACATTCTTTCTTCATCCTCAAAGAGCCTGAATGTGCCAGCAATGATTACTTTTCCCCATTTTTATTTGAAACATATATTTTTGATGTATGTAAATATAATGATATGATGTTAATGTTGGTTTCTACTTGGGTGGATTTCTTCCCAATACTTTATTTTGAAAATTGTCAAATACAAAAGTTTAAATAAATAGTATAATGAACACTGGTATAGATCTTAACCAGATTCATCACTAGATAACATTTTTCTATATTTGCTTTATTTCTTTGTGTGTGCGAATCTAATTTTTTAGTATGCATATATTAAAAATAAGGGCAATCTCCTATATTTTTACAATTCTATCATCACACCTAAGAAAACTAACAATAATTTCACCATCAGCTCTCAGGCCATGTTCAAATTGCCACAAAGCTCTGCAAAATGTCTTTCTAGATGTTATTTTTCTTGTTTCCATGCTCTAATAGTTACAATTCTATCATCACACCTAAGAAAACAATAATTTCACCATCAGCTCTCAGACCATATTCAAATTGCCACAAAGCTCTGCAAAATGTCTTTCTAGATGTTATTTTTCTTGTTTCCATCCATGCTCTAATAGTTACACATTACGTATGATTGTCATGTTTTTGTTAAACTATTAAAATCTAGGATGATCACTCCTCTTATTTTTGTCATGACGTTGCTTGTTTTGTTTTTTTGGGTTTTTTTTTTAAGAGTCTAGGTCAGTTATCTTATAGAATGTGAATTATGAATGACTTTAAAGATCTTTAAAATTTTTTATCTATGTTCTAATTTTTTACCATGAGCATATTGCAGGGGCCGGGGGCGGGGGAAGGTTCAGAAAATAATAAAAGATTAAAAGTAAAGTACATATTTGCATTTTATTTGCTCATGGCTTTCAGAGTCATTTCAATATGAGGTAGGTATAGGGAAGGACTGTTGTTACCAGCGGTGGGTAAAGAGCCGCAGGCACGCAGCTTCTATGCTCATCAATTTCTCTTCTCCACCCCAACCGTTTAATGTATCTATGATCCTGAAGGAGGCTAAGCAGAAAATCACCTCACGAAATTCTATACATTCTCAAGGTCAGCATACCAGATCAAGGGTTTCTGTTGTTTCCTCAAAGAGCTTGAATGTGCCAGCAATGATTACTTTTCTCTAAACCCTGAGAGGCAGGGGTCCTCTCTCTTATTTTGCACTCAGGAAAAAGTAGGGTGAGTATACAATTTTCATCCTCAACGGGATACTTTTGAGACCAAGAATGGATGTTATTACTAATTAAGCTGAGACTGTCCTGGCAAATGAGATGATTGGTCACCAAGGGAGCAACAGAAGTCGAGCTATTGTGCTGAACGTGCAAAGGGAAGGGATTCTAAGAACTGATGCTGAATGGGTTTGTCTGAGCTCAGATAGGTGTTCCCTGAGCACAGAACTGTGAGCACATTGCTCAGGTAGTTGTCTGGATTTCAACAGCCCATGTCTGCAGCCTCTGCCATCTTCCCCAGGGGTCTACACGACCAGTTTCTACAAGGGTACACCAGCGAGGCTCTCTCCCCTGCATTGCAGCTAAGGAGAGGTCTGGCTTGTCTGAGAAGTCCACAACCACCCCTTTCTAATTGCTTTATTTATTAGCTGAACATTTATACTTTTTCAATACATTAAAAGAGTAAAAGTATGAGATTGATTTTTTTTTTTTAAAAAACGAAAGAGGTGTCTTAATGGGCAGAGGCGTATTCAAAAGATTTAACAACCAGTACAACACGGGCACTGACCAATCATAATGGATGTTGGCCTTGACGCGTAAGCAGTCACTTAGAATCTTTCTTTTAGGCCATATCTTCTCCTTTAGTGAGAGGGTCATGGGATGATGACTGCTTGGTTATTTATTAGCTGCGTATCACCCTGGCTAAGGGTTATATTTCGGCAGATTGTTTTTAAGCAAGTCCATTTTCGTTGTTTTCCTTCACTTGTC